TTTTTGTGAAATTGGCAAAATTGCTAAATTCTGACCACTTTATTGAATAATTGAAATCAGTAAATGAGTGGTTTCTTGTACTCATTTGATAGAAAAAATGGTGTTCTAGCGAAATAGCTATGATTTTTGTCGATTAGTACACTGTAATTGGCCAAAAATAGGGCTCAAAGTGAGCAAAATCGCCGATGCGTAAACATTGTTGAGACCGCTAACTTCGCGAGAGCATAATTCTGTAAGTTTTCCATCAAATTTCATACTTTTGGTGTCATTATGATTGGGAAAAGATTCTCTATCTTTTCATAAGAAAAAATAATTTTTTTTTTTTTTTTGAAAATTTGGCGACCCTGAGAACAAGTCTGGGAGAGGGCCTGTCGACCCTGAAAGGGTTAAGGTAAGTGATGTGTGTACTGTATATGCATTTTTTAGGCCTAGCTCTTATTTCTCACTTTATATGTATAATAATGTAAACATGCTATCAGGCTTTTATATGCCTTTGAAAGTGAAAAAAAGACTATGTCTTACTTTACAGTAATTTTTGCTTTGCAGAAGTAGCCTAGAACCTAACCTGCTGTATAAGAACGGTCTGCCTGTATTACTATTTATGCTACATTGCTTTTTTTGTGGAGGAAAAAAAGAAAAGTATGGAAACAGCTCCAAGGAAAAAACAAAAAAGAACCATATACCCACCCAGAACTTACAACCCCCCCCCCCCCCCAGTGCTGCCAGCAGTGCTGAGGCTTCCTGGACACACACTCCCAACCTAGCATACCAAGATAGCACCTCCAGAATTGGCTGAGCTAAGCTTAGCCATTAATAAGTGGGCAACTGGAAATGCCAGGAGTCATATACCTTCAGCAGCTACTGCTGGATCCTAACACAGCTTCTGGTAACACTTTATTCATCCTGGGACATGCAAGATAGCTGCCAGGAGTCACTCTAGGATCACCCTACATGTTCCCAGATAATCCAATTCCAAGTTCACCACAGCACTAGCACTGAAGTCCATGTTAGAGTGGGGCTATTACTAATCATTTTTCCTCAGCTCAAGAGTTGCATCTCACAAGTGGGTAATGTGCCCAGTAATCCCCAATGGAGAGAGAGGGGGTAATATTTAGATTAGATCCAAGGAAGGGGATAAGGGGTCTAATCCCTCAGATCAAAAGCCCCTTTAACATGCCAAGAACTCCCTTCGAATGGTCCAGAATGGAATGAACATCATCTGATTTCCTATCAAAATTTTGTGTTGGTTGTTAGAGCCATAGTATTACAACCTTTACTGAGACATTACAAGAAAGGCTCAGTCACAATAATTACCCTGAGGCCTGGCCACAGACCAGTCTGCAGGGCCGTTGACCCCCGAAACCCCCTCCAGGTATACCCCTTGTTTGCACTGAGAAACAGAATGTGTGGAAAGGAGCAAGATTTCCTATGACGAAAATCATGAGAAAAATTAAAAGGAAGAAAGTTAGGAAATACTAGATACATAATGGTTTTATTACATTCATATTACATTTTCCATATTCTGAATATGGAGAATAGTTTACCCTCATGGTTCTTACAATACACATTTAAAAAAGTGCAGATTTGGAGAACACTTCTCTCTGTTTAAAGTAATTCATTACACCCAAAATCAAATTAGAATTTGAACTTATCAACATTCACAAATGTACATAAAATTAAATCATAAAAGATGTAGAAAAGTGCTTAATTTAATTAAAAACAACTAAATTATTTTTATGTGAGTGAGAAAGTGTGTCAGTTACCAGTTGACAAAGGCACTTGTCATTAGACACTTGGCCTGGTTTGGGCATGTGTTTGTGTGTGCACACGCACGTTTGTGAGCGTGTGCACACGGAAGTGTGAGTGTGTGTGCGCATACACATGCAAGTGTGAGTGCACAAGTGCGTGTGTGCACACAAGTGTGAATATGTGGGTGCGAGTGTATAAATCTGTAGTGGAGGGGAGGTGGGGTAGGGGTTGTCCTAGGAAAGGATAGAGGGAGGGGGGTAAAAGAGGTTTTGTGTGCAAGGGGCTTGGACACACAGCAGGCATGTGTGTGTGTGTTAGATAGGAGTGTATACAAATGGTTTTTGGGACCTGATGAGCTGTTGGAGTTTGAGCAGGTTAATATTTTGTGAAGGGTTTCAGGAAAACTGGTTAGCCGAACTTGAGTCCTACAGGTGGGAAGTTTGGGATATTTGCCATTTGGAGTGACATCTGAACTGTCGTATCTGAATGCCTCTGCAAAGATAGTAATTATGTGTGAATGATGGTGAAAGTGTTTCTTTTTTGGGTCACCTTGCCTCAGTGGGAGATGGCTGACATGTTGAAAAAAAATATATATGCATATTATATAAACCTTTGCAACTTCTCTTCAGAATCTCCCAAAAGCAGTGTCACTGGCAAAAATCAACTGTGACAACTCCCATTTTGTATTAGATTCTGAATAATTTAATGCCACACCTCTCCCCCAACACCATAACATCATTCACTTCTTTTACAACTCCATCCATAAAATATGTTAACCATGGTGATATCATGCATCCCTGTCTAAGGCTCATGGTAAGGGAATCTGCTGGTGAGAGACAGAAGAGATGAAGATATTAAAACAATGGCAAAACTGTCAGGAGAAAGTGGGTATGAAGATCATGAGATAATATAAATTATGTATTCTCCTTTCTGAAGCGATTGTGGCACTGAAAGTTATATATTGTATGCTGGAGTCAAAGGATAATGAATGTAAAAGTACTGGGTATGATAATCAGCTGAGTATATCAATGTGTAAAGGTATTTAAGAACCTGCTGGGCTATTCTTGTCAAGAGTAGAAAAATTATAATTTTTTTTTAGTGATATGATTAAGCATAAATAATAAATGCATTAATCAGTATCAACATTCCCCAAGAGACTATAAATTTACAGTCTAAAAGGTTAAATTATAATTTATTTTCTAGGACGAAAAGAAAAACAATTACTTAAAAATAAATGAGCATGAACAATGCTAAAACATCTCCCTTCTCCACATCATAAAATTATTAAATTGCATCTTGTCTGCATTGAAAAATATTTCTCCTTACATTCCTCCATTCAGGCATGAAAGCATAAAAAAGTTGCACTCCTTTGAAAACTCACTTCAGACAGCGCATACACACACAAATATCCCTATGCACTCGCATGTATGTGACTGATGGTAAATACAATGACTGACACATTTAAGAAGATGGCTAGACCGAGCATAGTCATAGATGGGATTTGCTATTATCAGGAATGATAAAAAATATGTTGCCATTAATGCTGTTATCACAAATTAGCTAATAATATATATATATATAATATATATTTATATATATATATCCCCTCAAGGAAGGTTCCTTGATGTTGGTGAGGGGCTCTTGATTTAGAGAATTGGATCTGTGCTCCAGTTCCCCGAATTAAGCCTGAATGCCTTCCACATCCCCCCCCCCCAGGCGCTGTATAATCCTCCGGGTTTAGCGCTTCCCCCTTGATTATAATAATAATATATATATATATATATATATATATATAATATATATATATATATATATATATATAATATATATATATATATATATATATATATATATATATGCAATAAGATCACAGTAAACAGGTGATTTCAGATTATGCAAAAACAACCACTCTGAAAGAATAGAGAAATCCAAGCGCTTTTGTGACTACTCACATTATCAGGGAACTATCATAGTTCCTTGATAATGTGAGTAGTCACGAAAGCGCTTGAATTTCTCTGTTCTTTCAGAGTGTTGTTTTTGCACATATATATATATATATTTATATATATATATATATATATATATATAATATATATATATATATAATATATATATATATATATATATATATATATATATATATATATATATATTTATTTATATATATATATATATATATATATATATATATATATATATATATATATATATATATATATATATATATTTTCTTTCTTTCAACACATCGGCCGTATCCCACCAAGGCAGGGTGGCCCAAAAGGAAAAACGAAAGTTTCTCCTTTTACATTTAGTAATATATACAGGAGAAGAGGTTACTAGCCCCTTGCTCCCGGCATTTTAGTCGCCTCTTACAACACGCATGGCTTACGGAGGAAGAATTCTGTTCCACTTCCCCATGGAGATAAGAGGAAATAAACAAGAATAAGAACTAGAAAGAAAATAGAAGAAAACCCAGAGGGGTGTGTATATATGTGCTTGTACATGTATGTGTAGTGTGACCTAAGTGTAAGTAGAAGTAGCAAGATGTACCTGAAATCTTGCATGTTCATGAGACAGAAAAAAGGACACCAGCAATCCTACCATCATGTAAAACAATTACAGGCTTTCGTTTTACACTCACTTGGCAGGACGGTGAGTGTAAAACGAAAGCCTGTAATTGTTTTACATGATGGTAGGATTGCTGGTGTCCTTTTTTCTGTCTCATGAACATGCAAGATTTCAGGTACATCTTGCTACTTCTACTTACACTTAGGTCACACTACACATACATGTACAAGCACATATATACACACCCCTCTGGGTTTTCTTCTATTTTCTTTCTAGTTCTTATTCTTGTTTATTTCCTCTTATCTCCATGGGGAAGTGGAACAGAATTCTTCCTCCGTAAGCCATGCGTGTTGTAAGAGGCGACTAAAATGCCGGGAGCAAGGGGCTAGTAACCTCTTCTCCTGTATATATTACTAAATGTAAAAGGAGAAACTTTCGTTTTTCCTTTTGGGCCACCCTGCCTTGGTGGGATACGGCCGATGTGTTGAAAGAAAGAAAATATATATATATATATATATATATATATTATATATATATATATATATATATATATATATATATATATATATATTATATATAATATATTATATATATATATTATATATATATATTATATATATATATTATATATAATATATATTATATATATATATTATAAAATATATATAAATAAATAAATTTAAAATTCCCATAATGATACTAAATATAGCCAAGTTCCAAAACATGACATTTGATGACTTTGCACATTACAGTCAAGTTCTAGACAGCAATCAGCTCATAAATGAAACACTTTGTTTACTAATATCAAATTCCACTATTTTCTAAAAATTCTATAAAAAATCAGAACAATGTTTTACCAATTTTAGGTGTGAGTCAAGGAGACGGTATTATATATGAAAAAATAAAATCTAAGCAAAAGTTGTCAATAATAATAATTCTGCAGTATTAACACACAAGGATTCGCAAAAAATTATTCCTCCAATATAAACTTGTATGCAACTTGGGCAGAAGCTGACAAATGCTGAATCAAACACTCACACAACAAGAGCAAGCCTTTTACTCAATGTAAATAAAAGACTTAGTCTGTCCATACCTTTGATTCACTCCCTTTAAAACCTGCTTCCAATATGCTGTAATAACATGTGTGAAGGAATGCAAGCTGCTTATTCTTTACAAACAATTATCTCAATTTCCAGAGCACTGGGTTATAATTAAATCTTAGCACCCGGAAGATCAAAATAAGATACTATGCCCTCCCTTCCAGGAGTCGAGGGCCAATGAGAAGGCCAAGATCATTTATATGCATACACGTATTACATAAATTCTAATTTTTCTTGAGAACTAATTGGTAACAAGCTACCTATGCCTTACAGCGTGTATGCAAGATCACTGACCAAAACCTCACATTGGTGGACAAATAAAATTTTGTGCCAAAATATGTAGCCAGCAAACTTGACCTGCTACACTATAATGCATCTTAAAAAAAAATAGGGTAAGTTGTCATTATTCAGAACCTATTGCCAATAATATACAAATATTAGATTATATATAAAAAGACTTACGAAATTTACCAATTGTTATACAAGAAGGTGCATTAAATAGCACAAAAACAACAGTGTAATTAAATTGACCACAGCAAGTACCATTACAAGCTTTTTTAACAACTTCATTTATCAAATATTTGAATAAAAATATAAATACAACTTTTAAAATATCACTGACAAACTAAGTAATAAATACAGTATAGTACAAGGTTTTTTTTAATTTCCATGCTAGTCATAAAAGTGACATCGAAACAAAAAAAATGGCTGTCATACTGGCTACCTTCAGCACTTAATATAAAGCAATATTTAGTACATATCAATCACTTCATGAAATTTTACTAGTAATTTCAACAGCTTTCATAGCATTAAAAAATTTAACTTCACTCTTTATAGACTGAATATTAACCATCTGCAAAATAGTTATAGTAATGGAGTCTGGCTGTATTTCCTTACATCACACTTACAGATTTCACCACAAAATATGCCCCCATGAAAACCTGCAGGCAATGAGATCAATGGTACTGACAAGTACACAACTTAAGATTATCTCTGCATTTGTGAAGAATGCCATATTAACTGGCAAATGTACATTTTACACAAAATATAAAAAACTCAGGGATATCCCACAACTGTTGATCCTGAAGACAGCTGCACCCCAGTAGTTCTCATAAATAATTATAAAATTATCACTGATAAAAGTAATTAGTGCATTTAATGCATTTACCTCTCATATTACAGTATTTTCATATAAAGTTTGTATTACACACTTTCATAAATATTATAATTAAGGCCATGGCTATCATTCTAAAGTTCATATATCCTATCAATGCACTATGAAACAATCTTGAGCTTTGCTGACCAGTAAAATGTTTTCCATGCTGACAGCAACACACCTTTGTAAGTCATGAACATGTTCAGCCACTATGCACAAATCTTTCACAAGTTCAGTCAAATTAATGGCTGTGGTACTGACCAACACAAGGCATCAGATGACTAAAATATGTGGAGCACTGTCAAATGTCATTATGCAGAACCTAACTAAACTGGATGTCTAATCTTCACTTTTTTGCTGGATATCGAAAGGTGCCATCCCTGCCAGCAGATCCTCGACGTATCACTCCTCCAGATACTGGAGGACTGACGCTAAAAAGTTGAAAAAAATTACTAAACTTGTAGGTCATTAATATTAAATACATAAATTAGCTGATTTATATAGCTTTCTGCTTACCTGGATAACAAGTATGTCTTGCTACTTCATCTTACACTCAGGTGACACTACACATACATATATATTTACATACCCATCTGGGTTTTCTTCTATTTTCTTAATAGTTCTTGTTCTTCTTTATTTCTTCTCATCTCCATGAGGAAATGAAAAAGAATTCTTCCTCTGTAAGCATGCATGTTGTAAGAGGCAACTAAAATGTCGGGAGCAAGGGGCTAGTAGCCCCTTCTGTACAAATTACTAAATTTAAAAAGAAAAACTTTCATTTTGTCTTTTTAGGTCACCTTTTCTCGGTGGGATACTGCTGGTTCGTTAAAAAAAAAAGTTACTGTATTTGAAAACAAGTGCCAAACCCATAAAAGTCACATAACACAGAGAATGTTCAAGCTGTAAGAGTAGAGGTTAGTGAATATCTAAAATTATTAATATCATAGTGCAAAATGCTTCTTTATGTTCAAAAGTCAGAGTCACCTTTGGATACTTCCATGTCCTCCATTTTAAATGCCTATTTATGGTATCAATTCCTTACATCTAAGGTATCAGTATATGCACTCTGAAACCTCATATTTAGTATCACACACATTTCCAATTTGGTGCTTTTACTGTCATCCTTAATTCTTTGTATTTTATCCTTCCTAATTATAGTATGCAATTTGCCATCTATAGACATGAAAAAGAAATTGTCTTGTTCTTGTCCACTGTGCATTTTTTCAGTTAGTTCCTTTATTACCACAGCAGCCTTTTTTTTTTACACCAAAGTAGGGTGAAACAACGAAGGAAACACATTCACAATTACTCTCAGTGGATTGGGACAGTGATGTGGAAGCCAAGTCAGTGGATGAGATGGAGTACCAAGCTGGTAAATGCAAGGAAGCTGAGGAGGCCTTCATGCAAAGAAGATGCAGAAACAACAAAGACATCTCCGGTTCAACCAGAGATGTGTAATGGCAAAAAAAAAGTGTAAAAAATACAGGAAAAAAATGAACAGATGAGAACGGAGAAGTGAGCAGACTGACCGGAAATAAGCTAGGAGTGAGGAGAGAGACTGAGACACAATTTGAGAATGACATAGCAGCAAAGGCCAAGTTTGAACCAAAAGTATTTCAGAGCCACATCAGTAGAAAGACAACAGTAAAGGACCAACTGAGGAAGGAAGGAGAGTTCATATAACAACAAGGAAGTATGTAGAAGTGTTAATAAAATGATTTGAAGAGGTCTTCTCAGTGGAAACTGGGGCAATACCAGAGAAACTAGGAACAAGGGAGCACTGGTAAGTACTAGATGACATCCAAACAATAGGAAAGAGGTAAAGAAACTTCTGATGAACCTGGATACATCAAAGGCAATATGACCTGATATGTCACCATGGAGTCTGTGAGAGGGTGCAGAAGCATGGTCTAAACCACTAGCTATGATCTACACTAAGTCAATGGATAGAGGACAATTACCAGACATCTGGAAGACAGAAAATGTAGGAGACAAACAGTATGCATTAAACTACATACCAGTTTCTCTGACATTCAAACCTTGAGAGGTAATGGAGAAACTTATCAGGGAGAAAGTGGAACAATTGAAGAGAAATAGTTTCATAAACAATAACCAGCATGTGTTTAGGGATGGCAAATCTTGTCTTACTAACCTGCTGAAGTTCTATAACAAAGTAACAGATGCACGACAAGACAGAAAGGGTTGGGCGAACTGCATTTTTTTTATAGTTCAAGGGTGTTTGATATAGTACCCCACAAGAGGCTGTGCCAAAAACTTGATATTTGGGCAGGAATAACAGGAAACATACTCCAGTGGATCAAAGGGTATTTTACGTAAAGGAAGCAAAGAGTGATTGTCAGGCAAGAAACGTAAGAATGAGGAAAGAGTAACTAGTGGGGTTCTGAAAGTACCAGTATTAGGACCAATACTGTTTCTGGTTTATGTGACTGACATTCAAGATGGGATTGATTCAGATATATCCCTATTTGCTGATGATGAAAAAATAATGAGAAGAATAAAAACAGAAGAGGGCACAGAAAGGCTCCAAAGGGATTTGGATAAATTGTAGAGTGATCAGATAAACAGTTACTTGAATTCAACTCCAGTATATTTTCCTCAGCTCTTTCCTTACACTCATAGTCAATGACTGGCTTGCTTGTATCTGGTAAGCTCCTGAACTGACACATTTCATAAAGTGGTTTCAAGTCCTTTATTTTTCATGGCTCTATAACACCTTCCCTTCTTTCTTATTAACTCTTATTCCTTTTTCCCTGTGACAGATGAGTGGGCCAGCAAAGTGGCAACAGCAACAGCCTGTTTAACTGGGCAGTTTGTTTCTAATACAATTATACAGTATACCCTTTTATAATGGACTAATGGGGGATTGTCCAGTGTGCTAAATCAGAATATTAAAAAAATATGAAAAAATGCACTAAAGTACTCTAACAGTACTGTACCCTCAATTTACAATTATAGTGCAATAATATTGAAAATAAACGAGATAAAAGTACAATTTATGCAGTGGATTTTGCCCATAATTTAAGTCTATTATATCAAGGGTTTACTGTATTTCCTTAGGTTTGAGTGGATAAAAAAAACTACTTTTAAGTCACTCATAGCAACTTGATTGTTCTTTCCAAATAGTTTTAAATAGTTTTTATTGAGAACTTTTTTTTCATATCTGAAGAATGCTAAGTTTACTACTGTACTGACCAGGTGTTGCCCTCTCCCAAGCAGGCTAATTCTAAATTTTGAAACTCTTCCCTAACACTGAGGTTTACATGTTTAAGGCCTGCAATAATAATAATGGAGATTGTTTGGTGTTCCAACACTACACCGAGAAGTCTGAATCCTTTAACAAATGCAACTACAGAGCAAGTAAAAAAAAAAAAATTCCATAGGATCATCCTACCTTGGTGGGAAAAGGGTAATGGGTTAATATAAAAAAAAAATATATTTCATGAAGAGAAAAAAGATGGGTTTAGTGATATATATATATATATCAAAACTTTCAGCATAATTTTTATGAAAATAAAGATCACATTTTTTTGGATTTTTCCTCACCTGTTGGCCCAAGTTTCTACACATCTATCTGTAGGTCTTGAGAGCTCAGGTGTCTGTGCATTGGAAGTCCCAGAACGATGTACCCTCATGCTCACACGTTGTTCACTCTCGCTCCCTGATCGTAGTCGACCCACTCCTGTAGAATAAGTACCCTATCATAAGTATCATAATTACTGTAATCGTTAAAAAATTCTACTCAAAATAAAATTAAACTATTAGTTATTAAATTACATGGCACAAAATTTCAAAATTACTAATGCCAGCAGATTCTTTGCTAAAATAAAGAATGTCTGAACAATTGTGTTCAGTCATCCATGTTGGTATTATTTTGTTCTTTTTTTTCACTCATTCAATTTTTTTTACATTAAACTTATACTACAGCACCTCCTGTTGGTTCCATAGATTTTTCAGTATCAACATTGTCTATCAGGTTATAACTATTATTACTTTCCATATACAGTATCTTTTTTTTCTACCTCTACTTGTAGTGTATAGTTGTCTCTTATTACTTTACTAAAAATGGGTACAATCTGAAATGGCATTTCAGAGAAATTAAATAGAATAAAATATCACAGGTGAGCTATGGAAAAATTCTATCAGCCCATACATAAGTGACTAAGGCAGCTAGTGAGCCTTCCACATGTACCTACTGTACCTCTCTGCACAAACAACATTATTTCATTTGTGAGATCACAGTTGCCACATATACCTGTAATGATAAATACTTGACTCTTCCTACAAATGCCAGTAGATTGCACACAAACATATTTCTAACATGCCTGATTTACACGACATCATGGTATTTTATGGCAAAATTCCTGTGTTGTAAAAATCAGTATATTTTATATTAGTAGTGCTATGAGGAGAATATATTTTATATAAGCAATGCTTCTTATTAGTGTATTATCAAGAGATGGAAGTGAAACTCCACTTACATTGCATGAAGAGCACATATTTCAATAAAATGGTGGCTTATAAAACTGTATATGAAATTTTGCAGAAAATACCAAACTCTGAACTCAGCAGTGTTTATTACTCAATTATGTAAAATAGATATATATTCAGTACACATTTTATCATCTTTTTATGTACTATACTATTATTCTACAAAATCTATAAGCACTAGGTAAGAAAATTCAACGTGCAGGAAAGAGAGGGGATGGGGAAAGGATTCAAATAGAGGTTCACAATGTTTCTGAAGCACTAGGTTTGCACCAGCTTTTCTTTACCTTGAGACTGGCGATGGATCTCAGTTTTACACCTCTTGAATCAGATTAAGCAAATTATCCTCCCAACTACCTGGAGGGTATGCCAGGAATCAACACCCCCATGGCCTGGTCCACAACCAGCTTTGTGTAAATTCTTACAACCTAAGGATACTGTCATCCGTTACAGACACCAATCAATAGGGAATTCCATTCAAGGCATAATACACCTTAAACTGTGAAAAGGAAGTTTCTGAGGAAAATTCGGTAAACTACTAAATCAAAACACATACTTGTCAGAGTACCTCTATCACACCAATAATGGTCACTCATTACTTTTCACTCAGTCTAGCCCATTCTGCCTTCTGCTCTCCCTCACTTACATCTTAGTGTAATCCTTGAAGGGCATGACATTATAAACTATGAGCAGTTGCTTACCTTTATTTGTAGCATGATGCCCCAAGGCAGCAAATTTTGGGACAAGCAGTATGGTGTTATTGTAGTGATGTGTGAGGGTTGATTTATTCATTAGTTTGATGTCTTCCACGATGAGCTCTAAAGGTACATGAAATGTCATTGCCAAGGACCCTGACACGCCTCATCATGAGTCTGCTTTGAGAGGACTCTTTGATTACTGTATGCTAAATTCATGTCTGCACTGCTCAAGCATAACTTGTTTCAAACCACCAGTTATATATTCAGGTAACTATCTAGTAAAGTATTAATACTTTAATTTATTGAGGAAGAGATCTCCCTTCTTGGCTGGGTGTTCATTTGTTAACAGCTAACGAGTATTGTTGCCACTTGGGAATTCTGGTTAAATAGTCTTGTCCACTAACTCGTTCCTGGATGCAAAAGATCCTTGTGAAATCCTAGAAGATTCAAGGAAAGTCTTGTTTACCCTCTTACTACAAATCACATTAGTAAACTTCGTAAGTGATTATTTATATAAGAGGCACAACAGGATCATGTTATATCAGAATCTGAATGGTCAGTAACACTCGTTTCCTCATAATATTCATCACAGCTGAAATTTTCCATTTTCATCTATGCACACTGAGCATGCTTTTTTCCTTAACACAACCTATGATCCATGCAATAAACATGACTTCCATCATCATCAACTCTGGAGGAACATGTAGCTCTCCTACAAATATTAATATTATCATCATCCATAAAGGGTTACTACTGAAATACAGTACAGTGGACCCCTGGTTTGCGATATTAATCCATTCCTGAGAGCTCATCGTAAACCAAAATTATCGAAAAGCGAATCAGTTTTCCCCATAAGAAATAATGGAAATCAAATTAAGCCGTGCAAGACACCCAAAAGTATGAAAAAAAAAAAATTTTACCACATGAAATATTAAGTTTAATGCACACAATCTGAAGAAGACATGCACAGTTTGTAGTACTCTACTAACAATAGAATACATGACACTTACCTTTAATGAAGATTGGTGATGATTGATGGGATAGGAGGAGGGGAGAGTGTTGAACTTATTGTTTAGAAGGGGAATCCCCTTCCAATAGGACTTGAGGTAGCAAGTCCTTTTCTGAGGTTACTTCCCTTCTTCTTTTAATGCTACTAGGACCAGCTTGAGAGTCACTGGCAGCCTCACCATGCCTAATCAAACTATGTATGCCACTACGATTCTTAAATCTTTCAAACCAACCTTTGCTGGCCTTAAATTCACTCACATCACCACTAGTTGCAGGCAATTTCTTTACCAAATCGTCATGCAACTGCCTAGCCTTTTCACAAATGATCGCTTGAGAGATGCTATCTCCTGCTATCTGTTTTTCATTTATCACACCAATAACAGTCTCTCAACATCTTCTAACACTTGCGGTCACTGTTTTGTAATCACAGTTGCACCTTTTGCAACAACAGCTTCCTTGATTGCCATTTTCCTGGTCACTATAGTAGAGATGGTTGATTGGGGTTTTGTATACAACCTGGCCAGCTCCGACACACGCACTCCACTTTCGCACTTTGCAATTATCTTTCTTCATTTCAATAGTCATTAGCACCCTTTTTCTCGAAGGGTTGGCACTAGAAGCTTTTTTGGGGCCCATGGTGACTTATTTTGTAGAAACAAGCACCAAAAAGACTTTGATAATATGGAATGTACCGAATTTATCCTTAGATGCGAGCACACTGGCTGGCTTCTAAACAATGGCACACACGTGGACACGTCTCAGACGAATCGTATACCGGGTTTTTTAACGGGAACCGAGGCAAAAATTTTGCGTTAAAATGTATCGAATACCGGATACCGATGACATCGCAAACCGGGGGTCCACTGTATAGCACTTTCCTTGACTAATGATGACCGCAGAATAGTGCTCACAGCCCAGATGAAGATGGCATAAACAATAATGGTGTGCAGGTGTGGGCAAGCAGAAGGGGGCAGACTGAGTGAAAAGTGATGGGAGATTCCAATGCCTGTGTTACAGAGGTACTGTATTCTGACAGGTTGCTATTCACATTTAGTGGTTCATTGAACTTGAGCACAAAAAAAAAAAAAAAAAAAAAAAATTAGAAATAAAAAAATTCTGAACTGTTAGAAGTGAAAGAATCTGACAAAGTATATAGTAATAAAACTCATCTGATTCTAATTAATTGGGAGGCTGAAGAAGAATGAGGAAAAAATATAAAAATATTTGCTGTCCAGGATTCAGAACAAACCTACAAGAGAAGTTTTATATAAATACAATAAGTTCAAAAGTCACTAAAGGTATTGAAAACACATGAAGGATAATTCCCAAATAACCCATACTCAGCAGAGCAAACTTATGACAATATAATGGTCTGTCCTAGACAACTGTTAAGTCAAAACTGACCAAGAAAATAGCAAAGGTCAAAATACAAGACAGAAGAGGGTGGTAGTAGTAGTTGTATAGTAGTACATGTAGTAGTATAATAGTAGTTTAGCAGTAGTATAGTAGTGTAGTAGTGGCCTGGTGGCTAAAACTCTCGCTTCACACAGTGAGGGTCCGGGTTCGATTCCCAGCAAGGGTAGAAACATTGGGCATGTTTCTTTACACTGGTTGTCTATGTTCCCCATCAGTAAAATGGGTACCTGGGTGTTAGTGGACTGGTGTGGGTTGCATCCTGGGACAAACTGACCTAATTTGCCCGAAATGCTTTGCATAACAAGGGGCTTTCTATATATGTATACCTTGTACATGTACTTGTAGTAAATAAAGATATTATTATTATAGTAGTAGTATAGTAGTGTAGTAGTAGTATAGTAGTGTAGTAGTAGTAATAGTAGTATAGTAGTGTAGCAGTAGTAGTAGAATTAGTGGAAACTGAATTAGTGGAAGTAGAATTAGTAGTAGTAGAAATGGTAGCATCAGTGGTAGTGTTAATACATGAGGAGGAGGTGGAGGTGGTAGTGATTAGTATAGTAGTAGTGGTTTAAAATGAGAGTAGAAGTATTGTAGTACAGTGGGCCCCACTTTACAGTACTCTGCTAATGCAGCATTTTTCAATTGTACCCATTCTTCATTTATTCAGACTTCCTACAATAAATATAATCACCACTCACTATATGTTCAGGACAAAAATATTTTAAGGTAAGTAGTGTGTGTACTTTATGTGCATTTTTTTAGGCCTAGCTCTATTGCTTGCTTATTATATGATAGTGTAAACATGTTTTCAGGGTTTTATATGCATCTGAAGGTGAGAAAAAAAAAGGGCTATGTTTTGCTTTACAGCCATTTTTGCTAAATTTACAGCAGTAGCCAGGAACCTAACTTGCTGTATAAGCAGGACCCTCCTGTACTATATAATAGTAGCAGTCTAGCAGTATAGAAATAGTAGTGTAGAAGTGCTGCTGAGAGCAGCGGTGGTGGTGTTACTCACAATGAGGAGTCAGGTCCAGAAAATTGTGACTCTAGCAAGGACTGTGAAATGTGAGGC